CCCCCCCGAGGTGCATGGGGTGTCTGGTTCAACACCCCCCGCCCCCACGAGCACGAGGTGTCCAGTTCACACACTCTTTCCCCCCCACCCCCAGGTGCACAGAGTGTCTGGTTCACTCTCTCACACACACCCGCCACGAGGTGCACGGGGTGTCTGGTTCACACCCCACTCTCCCCACGAGGTGCACAGGGTGTCCGGCGGGTGTCCAGTTCTCTCCCCCCCCATTAGCATGCACGGTGGCAGTGGGAGGGCGTGTGGTGTCCAGGGGGGAGGTTGGAGCTCTGGGGTTGGAGGGTTGTTGGAACTGCTCAGGGCATAGGCGCCGACTGCGTGGGTGCTCCGGGGCTGGAGCACCCATGGGGAAAAATTAGCGGGTGCTCCGCAGCTAAGCTCCCCCCCACCTCTTCCCCGCCTCCTCTCTTGAGTGCACTGCGTTCCTGCTCCTCCTCCCTCCCAGCATTTCTGCCCACCACCAAACAGCTGTTTGGCGGCGTTCGGGGAGGGAGGAGTTGGGGAAGGGGGTGGAATGGGGGCGGGGTGGGAAGAGGTAGGACGAATGTGGGTACTTGGGGGAAGGGGTGGAGTGGGGGCGGGGGGGTGTGAGGGCCCTTGAGGGGGTCACCATAACAGTACCCCATTCACTCTTCTGTCCTCAGCCTGGCGATGAGTAAACTCCGGGCAGCAGCTCGCAGCGGGCGGGGACTCCAGCAGCGTGCAGGGGAAGTGAGGAAATCCCCAAGGAGGTGCAGGGAGAATGTATCATCCCATAAAGGTGAAACGCTTTGGCTACAAGGATCTTATTGGGACACTGGAGTGAGGGTGACACCATGACGATAGGCACAGTGTGAACGGCTAGACACATACCAAACGAGAGCAGGAATGAGCCTGGGTGCAAAGAGACTCAGGCAAATAAAACCATATTTTGTAAATAAAACCCTGCCCGTCATTGAATAATGTGCAGCCTCAATCTGACCATTGAATACGTTAATTCACGGCTGATCCTAATATCCTGCACTTGTACAGCACCATTCTCAATGGAGCCAACTCTCTGGACTCCAACCTGCACCTTAAGCGCCATTCGGTGCTAAAATGGCATTGTGAGGTTCCTTGTTTCTTGTCTCTCAGTAACTGCAGTTCAGCTGTGCTCAGTTTACAAATACATATAAATTTCCTCTAACTGCCAGCCCTGCAAAATCACCTTTGGGATATGAGAATCAGTCTGAGCTGTTTCTTCCTCATGCGCTAGCAAGGACCAAGATTTCACAAGGTGAGCTTGGTTAACTACTCTGCCGATGTTGTATGAGCTGGATAGATTGCAGCTTCCTCGTACAGAGATGGGTGAGTTCTGCTGGGCTAAGGGCAGTAAAAAGTAGTTGAAAGCGTACTTTAGTCACTGAAATCAGAAGACTTGGCTCTGATACACGCAGGGAGTTGACAGTCACATTTTCAGAGACATATAACATTTGAACCATAAGTTTCTGCTTCTTCCTTTTTTCAACACTGTTGTTGCACTTCCAAAAATAGACTGGCTGGTTTCTGGTCAGTTTCTCTGCCGCCTCCTCTGCTAGACCCATGTTGTTTGTCTCGGCTTCCTCGCCCCTGACATTGAAATCGCTTAGCCAGAAACTTATTTTGGTTAATGCATTCAGCTGAGCACAGAGAACACAGTCATAGAAGTGTGTACTCGTTAAGGGTTGGCATGCTCCAAGTTGTACGAGACACATGCAAAATCAGTCCTTGCCCTGATGAACATACAGTCTATGAGACGACAAGATGCAATGGGAGACCCAGGTAAGGGTGGTAAATTAGAGGCTTTTTTTTTTCCTGTAATCGGACGTGTCTCCCCACTTCTGTAATGTTTAGGAGGGGAAGGCATTTGATGAGGGCCAGTATTTGTGAGTCTGGTAGAAGTGAGGCTTTAGGGGGGAATTTGAGATTGTAGAGGTCTGGCGCACTGGGACCGGATGAATCCTAGAAACAGCTAGTGAAAGCCTTTTGGGGCCACACACCCTTCAGGGTCTAGTGCAGGCTTGTCAAGGCTATTTTCTTTGTTTCTAGTGGTTTGTCCGGTCTGATGGAAAGACCTCCTTTGCCTCAGTAATGAAAGAGCAGCCAAGCCCCACCCCCCAGCTCCGTTAACCACTTGTCCTGGCTTCTGACTGGCATTTAATGTCTCCTTGCAGGCATGCTTCCTCCAGTGTCTGCGTACCATCTCTTCAGCCACCTGGCAGAAATCGAGGCCTTTCGGAAGAATTTGCTTGCCTGGTACGACAAATGCAAGCGTGACCTTCCCTGGAGGAAATTGGTACGGCAGGAGTGGGTCACCACAATACGTGGTTGGGTTTCCCCCAGTTTAAAAGATGCTGCCGTGATGATCAAAGCACTGTCCTTCCCTATGAACCTGTCAGATTGCATTAAAACTGAAGGGGCATCTAAAATCAGATTGTATCTTTCTCCACTGATGTGGTTTGTTTCCTTCAACTTGGGTCCTACAGGGAAACTAGACATGTCAGCTTCACCATGCGTTTCTAGTCAGTGTCAGCTTTTCATCCTTGGTCCCATCTATTGGGTTTGAGCTTCTAGTGCTGCAGGGAGGTTTTTATTTATCCTTAGCCCCTGCCTGTTTGCTTGCCTATTAGTTTGTATTCCCTTGTTACTGCAGAATGTTCTGCTGTTCCCACTTTGTGCCAGCCCCAGATCTCACCTCTGTCCTTGCTAAGCCCACAGTGGCAAATGGTGACAGTGCATTTGCCTGTTCCATGGTGGAATGGCTGGTGTGGTCAGAGATGAACTTTCACCGCTGTGCTGAGAATTATGTGGGGCCACCATTGTCCCATTTAAAAATCTCCGGTTCTGGTACCTGTGTGTGGGGTGGGGTGTGGGTGACCTTAGGGAAGGTTTCTCTGTTGGGATTCTAAACTTTCAGGATAAACTTTAGCTGGAGAAGCATCTAAATCCCTCACGCCAAGATCAAGAGAGATTGCAGCCAATTGTGTGTTGGCTTTCAAATGGTCAGACCAAATTCAGCATTTGGGGGCCAATCTTTTCTTTAATTAGTATCTTAACGGTGCATAGAAAACAGGTAGTTGCTCCCCTTTTCTTATTTGCATATGCAAATATATGTTTTGCATGTGTTTATGCAAATGTTTCCTGCGCATCTTTGCCCTGACCCTCTAACCTGACCTTCCTAAGAAGCTCTGCAAGAACGAAGTGCTTTCCAAGGAAGGTTGTGGATAGAGCTGTTTTCAGGTGGCCAGTAGCAGCTGGAAGCTGCAAATCCCAGCTCTCTTGGGATTCCTATAACTCCTCCATTTTCAGGAGCTCTTATATCTAAATTGAGTGACACTTACAAATTTTGTCCTCTGCCAGTATTTGAACCAGGGCTCAGCTATCAAACACTTCCCAAGAGGAGCTGCTCTTCTGCAAGCTAACTGGTGTCATTCCAAACACTGGTGGCGTCTCACTAGTGCTGAATTTGACTCTTTCTCTTTAGTGCAAATGACCCTATCCGAACAAGGTGTGCATCTCCTGTCCTTTTCCCCATCGCTCCCTGAGCAGAGTCCAGAGCTGAGAACTCTGTGCAGTTCCCTGAAATTCCCTCTGCCTTCTCTTTCAGGCTGCAAGCGAATCAGATACTAACAGACGAGCATATGCAGGTGAGACAGAGAGAACACAGGCTGTCTGCTTGGGCTTCTTTTCTCAGGCAGAAGGTTTGTCGCGGCATATCGTCTTTGCCTAGCACTGCAGAGTTAGCAGGGTGCATTGTGGGGGATGGCAGCGTCACTGTGGAGAAAAATACTCCGAACAAATCACGCTGCTCTCCCAAAACCAGACGCAGCCCAAAACTCCTCTAGACTCTTTCTGAAAGAGGCCAGCAGCGTGGCACTGGCAAGGACCCAGCATCGCAGGGACGAAGCTGGACAATGATGGTGCCGCCCCCTTAGGCTCAAACGGCCTGGTCTGAGAGATGCAGGAGAGCAGCATGAGACAAATGGGGAGAAAACGGGTTACCAGTAGAGCTTCTGGGCAGTAACTTTGGATACGTCAGTGGCCCCAATTCTAAGCCTGCTTCAGGTATAAGGGACTAGTGCAAGCTATGGGAGGCTCTGCTTTCGCCCCAGAGAGACCTTGTGCATAGGCACAGGGCAAGGTGTTGAATTGGGAGGGGGCCTTCCAGTCCCCCACGGTGCTCTCGCTTTTCCTTTGTGCCTGCAGTGTGGGTGTCGGAGATCATGCTCCAGCAGACGCAGGTGGCTACGGTGATTGACTATTACAACAGGTGGATGCAGGTGATTGTCCTTTGTCTCCTTCTCCTGCGTCTGGAGCCCTGAATTTCTGAGCGTGTCTGAAACCTCGGCCATTGCATGTCTCGTTCCCGGCCTGCGGGTCAGCCATGCGTTCGGGTTCGTCGCGGTCTGCAGACCTGTCCTGTGCCAGCGAACAAACCTCTGTTTCCTTTGCAATGTAGAAATGGCCGACGCTGCAGGCACTCGCCAAAGCTTCCCTGGAGGTGAGAATCCCCCATGGCAGGGGCCTGAAAACGCCCCCATTGATCTTTAATCCTGGGCCCTTTGCGACTAGTCTTAACCCCTGGCTGTGTGTCTTGGGAACAGGACGTGAATGAGCTGTGGGCAGGACTTGGCTACTACTCGCGAGGGAAGCGGCTGCAGGAAGCAGCACAGAAGGTATCCTGGTGCGGGGGCAGTTGTGGAGGGAGGGGGTATTTCCTTCTCTCCATGCTAGTGCCCGCTGGCGGGTGTGGGGGGAAGCCCAGTGCCACGGCTCTGTCCCCAAGTGCTAGCCAAAAGCTCCAGAGTGGGGCATGGCTGATGTGCCCAGCTCACGTTGGGAGACGCCAGGTCCCTACTCAGCTCCCCTCTCCCCTCAGGTGGTTTCCGAGCTGGCAGGTCAGATGCCCGCGACGGCCGAGGAGCTGCAGAGGCTGCTGCCGGGAGTGGGGAGATACACAGCAGGAGCCATCGCCTCCATCTCCTACGGGCAGGTGATGCGAGACCCGGCGCTGTCTGTGTGCCAGCGTTGCCGCGGGGGTGTCAGGCTGTGCTGGCCTTGGCGCCTCAGCTGTTAGGAGGTTTGGGGAACATGCCTCTCCCTGGGGCTGCTGTTAGCAGCTCGTGGCCCCTCCTTGCCCCAGGGCAGTTCCAGTGCTACTTGCAATGGTCCCCCTGCCTCGCTGAAAGCTGGGATCTCCCAGGGGGGTCTGGGCACTGGGAGCCCGGACCAGCTCCAGCCCTCCGTGGGGCACCCTCCCAGCAGACTTGCTTGGCCTGGGGATTGCTGATCCCTCCAGTTACCCCTCCCTGGGACCGGCCTGGCCAAATGCCCTCCCCTCCTAGGGGCACGAGCTCGCACGTGCCCTGAGATGGTGACCGCTGCTCTTCTGTCTCACGGGCCAGGCGACGGGAGTGGTGGACGGGAACGTGATCCGAGTCCTGTGCCGGGTCCGATGCATCGGCGCCGAGTCCAGCAGCCCGGCTGTTGCCGACAGACTCTGGTAGGGGATTGTTCTCGTCCCAGGAGGCGAGGGGGGGGGGTTGTAATACAAACAGGAGTAAAGTACACCAGGGTGGCCCGGGGAAATCGGTCACGGGAGGCAGCTCTTCACCTCTGCTTACCATGTCATTGGGGCAATTGGTTGCCTTGCAGCCCAGTGGATGCACAACAGACAAGCACTAGCTCAGTGGTCAGGAAGTGGCTCCCTTGTAGGCCCATACAGGGAGTAGGCAGGGATTGGATCAGCCCTGGAGATGAAATCGCCCGCGCCCCCCCCCCCCCCAGCTGCATACAGAATCGTGCCTACTGGTGCATGCAGCAGCGCCGTCCCCTAGGCAGCACTGGAGACCAGCGCTTACGAAGTACCATCCAAGCGCCAGCGAGAACGGTCACAGGAGCGGCCGTGGCGCTAAGCAGGGGCTGGGATTCTCGGCCGATCTAACCAGAGGAGGAGCCGGCGTGTGGCGGCTGCAGCCAGCTTTCAGGGGTCACTGGCCCATCGCGTGCTCTCAGGCGCTCGGCACGGCGAGAGGCGCCTTGGAGAGTGTGGGCCTGCGGCCGTGTCTGCTCGTTGCACCAGGGGTTCCCAGCCTTCTCACGGGCTCACTAGGCAATGAGATTGGCTCTACAAGCCAATGCCGGCTGCCTCTAACTGCCATGAAGCTTGGGCTGCTCCCATGGATGGGAACCTGGGGTTCGGAGCCCCCCGATGCCCACTGTCGGAGAGAGCCATCACTAGGAGGAGGCTGCGGGGAGGTCCTGGTCCTGTGACTCTAGTAAGGTAGGACGAGGGAGCCTAGAGCGCTAGTCACACTAGCCCAACGTACTAGAACAGGAGCAAGCCCCAGTGGCCGAGAATGGCCCAAGCCCCCTCCGCCCTGGGTCTAGCTGGTATCAAGGTTCTGAGCCTCTCCCCAGCTGCGGGTAGGGCGAGTGGGTGCCGGTTTGCAGTGGGCTGTTTCTCTTCCCAGTTGATGGGACCTACCCCCGGTGTGTGGTAAGGAATGCTCCTCTGGTAACCAGCCTGCCACTTCTCGCTGCTCTTCGTCGTAGGGATTTGGCCAATGCTCTAGTCGATCCAGCCCGGCCAGGGGACTTTAACCAAGCCATGATGGAGCTGGGAGCTACCGTGTGCACCCCCAGGGCCCCGCTGTGCATGGAGTGTCCTGTGAAGCCCCACTGTAGGGCGCGTTGCCGGGTAGGTATTGTGCTTTCCTGCATTCAGCTCAATCCCAGTAGGTCAGTGGTCTATATGTAACCCCTACGCCCTTCATAAAAACGTGTGCTACTAGGAAGGGGGGGATCGAGCCCCAAGTCCCATTCCTTGCTTTCCCACCGCCTCCCTCTGGACCCCGAGCAAGTCACTTCCCTGCCTTGGGATTCCCTCTGAGACGGCTTCCCGAGAGCCCACTTTGACTCCAGGTTCCATCAGTCGGGGATTTTTATTGGGCGCACAGCAATGTTACGCTGAGCTGAGCGGACTCAAACACGGAGGAGGTGGTGGATGCAGGGTACATCCCAGATCCAAAATTCCACAGAAACCTTCTTCCTTTATGTGCATTTACATACAGTATCACATTGCATTTCCTCTACATTGAATCACACGTTCTGGGACTGGCTTGGTTACGTGGTAGGAACCAAGCCCTGTACAGAACGCTCTGTCCATCCATGACTTACTCTTTACTTCAGCGTTACGTTCCAGGGTGATCCTGTATGCTGTGGTTCTTCCCATTGTCAGTGGTTCCCTGCGGGTTCCTCCTTATCGTAGCTAGCACAGACATTCTGTCTCCAGCCTGCTGATCCATTTACCTCCCTAATCCTGTCTCCCGAGAATGGAGGTCTCATGCATGTCTAATTATTCCAAGCCCGCCTACGCTCTGTAAACTGAAGGTGGTGATCTGGACACGGACATGGACACACACACACACACCCTATACAACAAGCTGCTGCTCTTTGGATTTTTGGTTTTGGAGCTTGGGAACTCGAGATGGAAGAGCCTGGTGGGGTCACTGAGGCGCATCCCTGGGGCTGGCCCAGAATCCCGCCCTGTGATATCGCCAGTGCTGGGTCCAGTCCAGGTTTAAATGACCCAGGCTACTCCTGCCCTTCCTCTGGGCGGGCCGGTTCCACAGGCTGATCAGTCCCAGCGGTGGGAAACCTTCCCTGATAGTGATCCGTGTTTCCAGCTAAATGCTACCTATAAACCATTGGCCCTTAATGTCATAGGTTCATGGGCCAGAAGGACTGTTTCATTGGATCGTCTAGTCTGAGCTCCTGTCTAGCACAAGCCAATGAATTTCACCCGGTCACCCCTGCTCGAGCCCAGCCAGTTGCGTTTGGCTAAAGCGCACTTTTGTCCGAGTGTAGCCAGCTGTTCTGACTACACTCACTGTGTTCAAGAGACCAAACTTAGCCAAACGTATTGTCCGAAGATAAAACGGTGCAATATGGAAAGGAGACGTACGCGGCCTCTGTCCAGGGAGCGGTTTGTATCTCGCAGCACGTTCACCTTGCGCAGAAGTGTGTTTCGGAACCGTGCATTTCAACGAGCGCTAGTTACAGTGTGGCTTGACAAGTTACAAAACTCGACGGCACTAAAATCCAGCACACCTTGTTTTGTTCTGTCCTTTTCCTGTCTCTCTTTTGGATGCTACGCTCTAAACCAGCCGTCTTCAGAGCTGCCTGCACTAGAATATAGAACAAGCATTTCTTGTCTTTGGCAAGTTCTCTGTTAGCTAATGCCAAAGCTGACTTCGGCTTTGCAAAGAGTTATGAGATACTCAGCACGAGTGAACAGAATTGTAGCAAGACCGTAATGCATTCAGTTAACATAACTTCCCAACACACACACACAATGTGTAGTATATTAATGCTGTGTGCATAATACCCAGACTATGCCTAACCTAGATGTATTGGCCAGTAGCATCTTTCGGAAAGGCATCCAATCTAGATTTAGAGACATCAAGAGATAGAGAAGCCACCACTTCCCTTGGTAGTTTGTTCCAGTGGTAAATCACCCGCACTGTTAAAAAGCTTGGTTCCCCTCTCCCTGTGGTGTTTACCCCCTTGGATGTATTGTGTACAAGTTCCCAGACCTGTTCACGCGTGAGCTAAGCTCTCTTCTGACTCCTGGCCGCAGTGTCTTTGGGTACCCACGTCTTGTAACGCGTCATCAGGGGGCAGCTTGTGGCTGGTGCCAAATACAACATACGCTGCAGCGTGCTGCCAGGTTTGAAATGGCATAAGAACGGCCACAATGGGTCAGACCAACGGTCCATCTAGCCCCGTATCCTGTCTTCCGACAGTGGCTGGTGCCAGGTGCTTCAGAGGGAATGGACAGAACAGGGCAATTTTGAGTGATCCAGCCCCTGTTGTCCAGTCCCAGCCTCTGGCAGTCAGAGGTTTAGGGACACCCAGAGCGTGGGGTTGCATCCCTGGCCCTCTTGGCTAATAGCCATTGCTGGACCTGAGCCTTCCATTGGCAGCTGAGGCCTGTAGCTGACCCTGTCCTTCCTTTGCAGGTGGAGAAGGAACTGGAATTCGCCTCCAAGAGGCTGCTGGGAAAAGCCGCCTCCAGTTGCTCCCAGGCGCCTGACATCGAGGAGTGTGGTAGGTGCTGGCTGGGGATCGCCACCTCTCGAGGCTTAGCCCTGTATGGAGAGCACGTCTTGACCCCTTAGCCCCCGGCGAGCTCTGAGCTGGTGGGGAAGCCCCGCCCCGGGGCACAGAGCTGTGGGGGCAGCGCGGCGAGAGGCAGCAGTGGGGGCCAGGCGGTGTGCGTGAGCGGTAGGGCTCCTGGCGGACTCCCCTGCTGGCCCGTGCAGGTGGAGTGCCCCAGCTCTGCTGGGTTACACTGTGGGGATTAGTGTCACATAGAGGCTAGTTTGGGACGTGGGGGCGGGGAGGTGCAGTGACTTACACACAAGGAGGAGACGTTACGGGAGAGCGTCTGTTGCCCAACCTCTAGGGGGTCCTCCCCAACACCTCCTTGGGGTGCCTCATCTGGCTGATCCTGGGCTGAGTTGGTGACTTCTTGGGAGCCCCGTGGCCAGCCACTGGAAGAGCTGCTCTCGGGGCTGGAATAAATCCATCAGAAGCGGGTGATGGGGACCCTGGGCCTCCTCTCCTCATGCCGTGAGCAGGGCAGAGGTGCAGCCCCCAATCCCCAGGTCTTATGAGGGCCGGTGCAGTGACACGGACTGACCTGGTGCCGCGTCTGATTCACAGCCGCCGCCACCGCAGGCAGCTGCTCTTTGTGCCCCCCTGCCACGGAGCCCTGGGACAGCAGCCTCGGCGTGGCCAACTTCCCTAGGAGAGCCACCAAGAAGCAGCCCCGGGCGGAGCGGACGGCCACATGTGTGCTGGAGAGGAGAGGCCCCCGGGGGGAGCCAGAGTACCTGATCGTGCAGAGACCCAGCTCCGGTAACTCGCAGCTCGGGTGTGCACCAGGGTGGGGATGGAAAGGGAGGCGTTGGTGTCTGTGGGAACGGAAGGATCGCTGCCCCGAGGGACTGGGCATGCTGGGGGGCAGGGCTCACTCATCTCAGGGGGCCGATGAGAGAAAAAGCCCCTCACTGCTGTCTGACCTCAACAGGCATCAAACACCCACAGCCAGCCCTGGGATCCCTGCAGGGAGACCCCCGCCGGGGGCTCTGGCTGGATTAGAGAGGTGAGCATCTGAAAAAAACAACCCGGAAATGTCCAGAAAAAAATGGTTCTTTCCCCAGACCCAATATGGAAAAATTGGAAAGAAGCTGGTTAGATGAAGTGTTTGCTCTGAGTGACCAGGGACAGGGTTACGAGGGTGATGCTGTTACTGCTGCTCTTCGGTACTTCTAAACGCTCTCGAATAATAACCAATACGTGTTTAACATGAACAAAACGTTTCCCTGGCCACATGAGGTTCTTTATCAACGTGATCAGGACAGATCTTTTTCCACACTGCTCCTGAGCCCAGAGAACAGAACCTTCCTTTCGGTTTACAACAAGACTGCCGTGTTCTGTGCTCGGTATTTTATACAGGAACAGCTGTTTTATCCAGCACTTTGCCAGCCGGAAACCTCTAAAAACCAGCATTTCTGATCGCCATTAAACTGTCGGTTTATAGTCCGGTTGCTGCGGGGCCAGCAGGGGGCTGGGGCGCGGGAGGGGGTTTGGAGCGCGGGCTCTGGGAGGGAGTTTGGGTGCGGGAAGATCCAGGGGCCGCTCACCTCAGGCGGCTCCCCGCAAGCGGTGACCTGTCCCGGCTGCTCCTAGGCGGAGGCGCGGTCAGGTGGCTCTGCCTGTTACCACTGCCCCCGCCCCAAGCGCTAGCAGCGCAGCGCCCATTGGCTGGGAACCGTGGCCAATGGGAGCTGCGGGGGCGGAGGCAGCGCGCAGAGCCGCTTGTGGGGAGCCGCCTGAGGTGAGCAGCCCCCTGCACTCCCTCCCACGCCCCAACCCGCTGCCCCGAGCCCCCTCCAGACCCCAAACTCCCTCCCAGAGCCCACGCCCCACACTCCAACCCCCTCCCTCTTAGTTAACCGGCATTTTTCACTTACCGGCACCCCCCTACCCCCAACATTTCGGATAAAACAGCTTTTACTGTATATTTTTTTTCATATTGGCCAACAGGCGAAAAACAAAACATGTAAGTACCTTCGTGTGCAGCTACAGTCTGTCCCCAATGCTAGGTATATTTGTCATTGTTATTTGAATCAAAACTAAAGAAGTTATACTTATTTATTTCATAAACATCTCAAACAGGACTTTCTCGTGTGCTAACTAAATTGTACGTAATACATTTCGCATTCTTGAAGAAGTAAATAAAGCTTAGTTTTGATAATCAAATAACTACTTCAGATCCTTTCCCCCCCACCCCCCAAATTTCCACTTTTTTCCACCCCTCTCCCCAATGGCTTTTTTTTCCCCGTGACTTCAAAATTTCCAGAAATTGTCCATCCCCAGTCTGGATACAGCAGCGGAGGCGCAGGGGCTGTGCAGGGCCCGAAGGTGCAGCCGTTCTGTCAGTAATGATCCTGGCTGCAGAGCAGGAGGGGTGATCAATAGTCACGGGCGCCCCAAAACCAGCCACTGGCAGCAGGGCAGCTCCCCTGTGCCTTGGGCTGTCTTTGGGGGCTCCTTGCACCCAGCTTCCTGGGCCTGACCCTGCTGCCTCTTCTCCTCTCGCTTCTTGCCTGCTTGGCAGAGGCTTTACAACGGCGGTTTAGCCTCCAGGATCGACCGCGTGAGCCCTGTGCCTGGTCTGAGCAATACCCGCAGGCATCTGGAGCGCTCGTGTTGCAATTGACACGGGGGGGGAGGTAATCAGAGGGACGTGATCTTGAAGGGACAATATCCCGCAGCCAGCCAGGGCAGGAAATGCTTGGACAGGCCAGTCAAGATGCGCTCTGTCCCAAGAGGCTTTTCCTAGCCCTGACCCTGGCCTGTGAGCAGAGGAACGTTGGGCCCTGGGTGTGGTGGGAACCAGCTGCCGCCCACAGCGTCCTTTGGAGATGGAAATCTGGTTGTGCCAAACGTGGCCTGGCTGCCCATTCCTTGCTCTCTCCCAGGCTTGCTGGCGGGGCTCTGGGAGTTTCCCAGCCTGGCCTTGGGGCCGGGGCTGAAGGAGAAGCAGCAGAGGGAGGCGCTGTTGGCTCATGTTCAGGCCTGGGCAGGAGAAGCCGTGGCCAGAGGACACCTGCGGCATGTCGGAGAGGTAAATGAGGCCACGCGTCCGTCCTGGGGCGGGTAAAGGGTTCGTGGCGAGTGACGCAGCTGACGGGAGCGCAGACCGGCCCTGGCGTAGGTCCAGGGCATTGGGGCCGGATGGGGAGGAGCTGTGGTGCTGGGCTCTGAAGCGAGTCCTCCGCCTGCAGCCAGGAAGCTGGTGCCCAAGATGTGATGGCTGAGGGCCAGGAGGCCAGGGAGCGGCGCTAGGGAGTGGCAGAGCAGAGGGTCCCTGGTGTCCTCGCCTGGTTGGTTGTTCTCCTTTGCTCCCCCTCGTTATAACCCCCTTACAGCCCCGCCCCAGCCACCGTCACCCTGTCGCTGAGTGTGGACGGCGCTCGGCTCGCTCGCGGTGCAGCCAGAGGGGGGCGCCGCTGAGCAGCGAGTGCTTCCCCCACCTGGGGCTGCAGATCTTTTCCTCTGCATTCCAGGTCGGCCACGTCTTCTCCCACATTCACCAGACGTACGTGGTCTATTCGCTGCTCCTGGGCGGGGACCCCGAGGCGGCCTCGGGCGGGCGGGACGAGGAATTGGAGCGGCCAGCGTTCCGGTGGGTGACGCAGGCAGAGTTCCAGAAATCAGCCGTCTCCACTGCTATGAAGAAGGTACTCAACCCCACCCCGCACCCCCCGATCCCTGGGAGTGGGGGGAGGAGCTCAGCCCTGTGCATTCCCCATGGGGCTCCTGGGAATGCGGGGGAGAGAGCTAAGCTTTGGGATTGCTGGGAGGGAGGGGGGCTCAGCCCTGCACACGCCCTGCCCCCCACTAGGGTCACGTGAAAGGGGGCCAGGGGCCAGCCTGGCACGACCCCTTGGAGCTGTGGGAAGGGGCCTGTGGCGCTCCCTCTCTCTTGTGCTTCCCCTAGGTCTGGAAGGCATGTGAGCGGCAGAGCTGCGAGGAGAGGGGGCCTGGCCAGGTGAGTGCGTCTGCGCCGCGTCTGCCAGGGGGCAGCTGAAGCCGTCCGGGCCGGTCCCGGAGCCTGCAGCCCCCCATCCTGCAGGGCAGGCTTCCCCGTGATGCTGTGCCTCAGCCCTGGTTGGGAGGGGATGTTGCTGGGGCGGGGTCAGTCTCCAGCCCCCCAGGCCTTGTCCTCCTCTGGGGCTGTCGGCTGGGGGCCCCCCTCCATCCTTGCCGGGCTCCCCGGGCCAACAGCAGTCGCCCCACGTGTCTCCGTCCCTGTAGGGCTGCAAGCGGAAACGGGGCGCCGATCCCTCGCGCGCCAGCCAGCGGAAGGTGGAAGCAGACGGCAGCCTTCCCCCGAGGCAGCTCTCCCTCGACTCCTTTCTCAAGGCCCCCGCTGGGGAATGACTGCGGCCTCCTGCTCCGGCCGGACCCGCTGGGACCGCACCCAACGGTGAGGCCCGTCTGGAGGGGATGGAGGCTCCATACTCTGCGTTGCTTGGGCTGTTGCGTCCCCCCCAGCCAGCTGGCAGCTCCACCAGGCCTGCCATGCCTGGCACCCGGCTGGGGCAACACCAAGTCACGTGGACTCAGCCCAGGGTTATACGAGGCCCCCCACGGTCTGTTGTTCCCTGCACGTCTTTCCTGCAGCCAGCCCCCTGCTCTCTCTGGGGCTCCCCCTGCAGAGGGACCCCCTTTAGTGCAGGCTCACTGGTGTTACAGCCATCCCCACAGGCCACTTCCCTTCCCTGGGAGGCTCCCGCCTTGCAGAGCCCCTAGCAGCCACACGGCAGTGGGGATGTGGGGTGGAGTGAGGAACCTGCGCCTGCTCGGTGCGGTCTCACTGCACTACGCGGGGAGTTATAGGGAACATTCTGCCAGCGTGACAGCCTGGGGCCTGGACTTCTCTGCTCATCCCCAGGGCGGGGACAGCATGGGGGTCTGACTGTGTCTGAACCCTGCAGACGCATGTCCACTGAGAAGTGGGGCTGGGCTGGCTCGAGCCAGCGGCAGGTGAATGTCTCTCCGCCCAAGGCGCGATGCGTTATTCCCTGTCTGGACGAGATCTGGGGGCCCCGCTGCAGCCAGGGGACAGTTCTGTCCAGTCAGGGCGTCCCAGCATTCTGGCAGCGTTCATGGAGCTGGGTTGCCCCTCCAGGGGTGAGGGAAGCCGACACTCCCACCGTCTCCTGAGTAATGGGGGGATCCGGGGCTCTAGATGCAGGACAAAGTGGAACTGAACGAAGTGCAACTACTGTATTTCCAGCATTGCCCATCTCCTCCCAGCAGCCTCTTCCCGCTGCTCCTGGGACACGGAGGGTCCTGAGACCCAGCAGACCCGGAGGGCGACGTCGGACGCTGTGTTAGGCCGCGGGGCGGTTTGCTGCTGGCCCTGCCTTGTACGCCGGCTCCTTTTCCGCCTGCTTTTACTCACTCACAGCTGAGGTTTTAATAAATCTGAACTTTTTCTACAAGCTTTTAAAAGTGGATTTTGGCTCCATTTCATTGTAGCCACCTGAAAACACGCTCCGGCCGCGCCGCGAAAGGGGATGCGAATGGCACGAAGGGCCTGGCCCCAGCTGCCAGGCAGAGGTCACTGGGTAACCGCTGGAGCTATGGTGCAGGAAACGTGGCATCTGCTGTGAGCAGTGGGGAAGGAGCTTTGTGAGCCCTGAGCGCTACACGATCACCCAGCGGCTCCATCCCACCCATGGGCAGCCTGGCAGTGCCCCTTGAACAGCCTGCCTGGTGTAGAGCGGATCAGCAAAAACCGACCTGCGGTGGCACCCACTGGCAAACGGCAGAACTGCAGGAATTCTCTGCTGAACGCATTTAACTCAAACCGGGCAATGTTTTGGGGCCAAATGGTTTCCTCACCAAAAAAAGCCGTGTGGGTCGACCTGATCTGCTTTGGAAGTGGGTCAGGCTGAATCAGCGTATCCAGGCAGAGAGCTAGCCCTTAGTTCAGTCAATTTCCCGTCTAGACAAGTCCCTCAGTGAAAACCCCCAGCCCCCCTCCCTGGGGGCTGTTAACATGAGCACCTCTGCTGGTCAGCTGTGGGGGTGTAGCAGAGGTGGACTGGGTGGGAGCTGGGACTGACATCAAAGAGATCTGCATAGGGCACCAGCAGCACCCCTGGGGACCCCCAGAAACGAACTTGGTGCTCAGACGCAGTGTGAACTCTGTGGCAATCCCGGGCCGCCCTCTCCCACACTAGCCCCAGGGTGTCCTTCAGCCACAGCCCCTCGGTGGCGCATTACAGGGCCGTGCGCTGGGGCTGAGTAGCACAGACCTGGCTCTTTGCAGAAGCAACAGGACACGGCACAGGAAAATCAGTTCTCGGTTTAATGGCTAAATTCAAGTGAACCATACGACGCTCGCCCCGTAAGCGAGAATCCACGCGCGGCAGGAGCGTGAGCGAAACCCAGCCTGGGGGAGATGCTTGTAAATCGGACCGAAAACCATGAACGGAACAAGAACGTGGGAACAGCTCATTCGCGAGGGGCACGGGGAGGTTAGTGCCTGTGGCATTAACGGCCTGGCTGCAGGGAGAGCCCACGCGCCGGCCCCGGTGAGGATGCCCCACTCGCGCTCCTGGCCCGTGGCGTGCGGGGAACGGGAGAGGATTCCCAGCCAGCCGCCTTGGCAGCGCGAAATCCCTGCGGAGCCACTGGTGCAAAGTGAGAACTGCCAAGGGGAGCGAGTGGGGAGGGGGAACTGTTCTGCCCTGGAGGGGAAGAGGGTGGAGCAGACAGGACGTGGGCTCTCCCGCAGCCAGCCCCTCAGAGAGAAGGGTTACAGACATGAATAGTGCTGAGATTAATGCAGAGCCAGTTCTCAGGCCAGCCGGGATATCTGCTCCCAGGGATCCCCCTCCCCCCCCCCCCTGGTCATTCCCATTTGACTCTGCTACCCACCCCTGCCGTGTTGCTGCCACCTTCCACCCCGGGGTGGCCGCAGCGGTTGCTGGGCTCACGGTCCCTAAATCCACCCATAGAGCTTGTGGGGTCCAAAGCTGCAGGCTGAACGTTGGCCGTAAATCCAGCTCCCGGCCCAGGGAGCAGGAACTCAGAATTAGCCAATCCAGCCGTGCCGGGGCGAGGGTTGGCAGAGCGGGGCTGGGGGAGGGGGCAGGGTTTGTCTTTGGGGTGGGAACTACCCCATGAATCCCACCCATCAAGGCAGACGGCGCGTCCCAGGGAGCTTTTAAGTAGCTTTCAACCTCCCCGTCTCTGACCGAACAGCTGGTCTGGCTCTGCCTCCTCCCTCCCTCCCGCCAGGGCAGGGCCATCACCTGGGGATGGAGCGCTGGGGCCACCACTAGTCCTTCAGTGCAGCTCGCCAGGCAGCCAGCCGTTGGCCTCCCATTGTTCCCCAACAGGCGGGGATGGCCCCGCCCTGTGACAGCCCACCGGGGAGAAGGCGAGGCAGCCGGGAGGGACTTCTCTACTCCTGCTTGTCCAGATAGGCCTGCACGGATTTCCACAGGGCCCGGATGTTGCCCTCCCCGAAGCCTGCGGCCCCCCGACGCTCAATCAGCTCCAGGAAGAAGGTCTCCTCAGGGAAGATGGGCTTGGTGAAGATTTGCATCAGGTACCTCCGCTGGTGCGGGCTGGAGCCCCTGCCGCCTCCCTCCCCGTCCTCAGCCAGCTCGGCGTCCAGCAGGATGCCGTGCTGGGACAGGAGCCGGGGGTCCAGCCCAGCCGCCCGGATCTCCTCTGCTTTGCCCGCCTCGCTGTAGTAGGCCCGGGGGGGCTCGACGAACCGCACGCCGGCCTGCGCCAGGGCCCGGGCCGTGGAGACGATGTCCGTGGTGTAGAGCCCGACGTGCTGGATCCCAGCTCCGCCGTGCTGCTCCAGGAAGGCGTCCACCTGGTTCTTCCCTGGCTCCGGCAGGGACTCGGCCAGGACGAACTTGCAGTCGTCGGCCAGCCCCGGCTCGCTGCCCTTCCCGTACCCCATGGCGGTGAGCCGCAGCCCCACGCCGCGCCCGCGGATCCGGTAGCCCTCGGCCGCGTCCTCCTGCCTGTTCACGATGAAGCGCTGGAAGCCGAAGCAGTGCTGGTACCAGTCCAGCACGGCCCGGGTACTGCCCCGCGAGCAGGCGTAGGTAATGTGGTCGAAGCGCGTGGCCTCGGCCGGGTCCTGCGGCCCCTCGGGGACGTCCCCCGCGGTGCGGAAGCCAGGCAGGAACGCCCCCCGGTAGCGGGAGCGATCCAGCAGGGTGTGGCTGACGTTCCCCACAACGGATCTCACCACGCAGTAGGTGACGGAGCCGCTGTCGTCCGTCACGTCAGTGGGCGGGATCGCCAGGGGGCAGCCCCGCTCCTGGAGGCGTCGGGAGATGCTGGGTACGTCCTGCACCTCGAAGCACACGTTGGAGGCCGTGCTCACGAGGTGTGAGGGGCCGACGTCGTAGAGGAATTCCTCGTCGCTGTGGCCCAGCGGGGGCTGCTGAGCCAGTGCGGGCTGGGTGGGGTCGAACGGCAACACGTGGACCGGGGGGGCCTCCCCCAGCCTCTCATTGACGAGGAAGACAGCGGCTCCTTTGCGGAGAGCCAGCTGCCGGGCGCACGCCGTCACCCGCTCCGCGAACAGGTGAAAGCGGAACTTGCCCACCAGGTCACTGACCAAGCCCGTCCCGGCGGGGACGTGGAAGGCGATGTGGGACAGCCGGCTCAGAGAGGCAGCCATGGCGCAGCGGGGTCAGACCCGCTAAGCTCTGCGAGAGAGAGAGAGAGAGAGAGAGACTAGAGCAGATATCCCAGCACCCAGGAGGGAGCGAATCAGTCCCCATTGCGCTGTATGGCCCAGTGCTCTCTGCTGCCCCCTGCTGGGGTCAGAATC